CATATCTTCAATATAACAATTGTGATATTATCCATTTTTATACATCTCTCACCTCTAATCACAACCGTAAAATATCCCTAACTTTACTTTACTTTCTTCCAAAATGCTCACACATAAACCTAACAGTCTACAGAAAATGGAAAGAGCTTATACTGTACCGCGTGAGGAAAAGAGATTTGAAGATTATTGTCTGAAATACTGCTTCCACTACAGAGGTAATAGACTGCTGAAAAGTGAGTGTTTATTGCACAGAACCAATAGAAAAAGATAATGTTGTACAAGTTTTTCCGGAGTAGCAGACCTTTGATTGTTGGAGTCATATAAAGCCCCTTTGACTGTCCTGACCCTCTCCTCACCCCTCTCTCTGATATTCACTGTTCGTTTTGGGTCGAGGAGGACTTCAAGTTACCCCTGTGGAACTGATGCCCCCGATCAGCGATGGTCTGGAAAAACATAAAGACAGAGGAGCCAGGGGCGGTGATGGTGGTGATGGTGGTGATGGGGGCTTGGAGGCGAAAACCGAAATGCTGAGATGGCACTTTCACCTGCCCACAGAGAGAAGAGGGGGAGCAAGAGGGAGGGAGGGGTGAGTGGGGTAGAGGGAGGGAGGGGGCAAATGGAGGGTGGTGAGGAAGGAGGGGTCTCATTTATGATTAAAAGATAGCCTGGCCCATCAGTCTCTGCTTAAATGAGCTCTTAATAGCACCGCGGGAGGCAGACCTGGTTTGGCCACCATTAAGCACCATCTTTGAATCTTTAAAGGGCCCATATTACACTATTTTCTGATCTATGTTGTTTCCTCATCACAAACATACCTGGAGTTGTTTAACACACAATCTCTGCATATTTAGGTCGAGTTCTTGTCTTTCCCACCTTTTGATATCACATGTTAACACAGGAAGCGCTCCACTGTGTTTTTAAACTCCATACACCTTCAGTTGAATAATTTGGATAATTTCAGGTTTAGAATTGCCAATCTCTACTGAACTAAAAGTAAAAAGTAGCTGTTAACTTGAAAACTACAGCTTCATCACATCACAAGGTGAAATAGAGCATTTTGGGCTTTTGAGATGTAAACAGTTAATAAGAGTTATAAGTGAATGAAACGGAACAAACTCCAGGCATGTTTTTGATAAGGTAACAACATTCTAACATGGCTTAAAACTCACAAAAGACAGTTTTGCATAGATCTCTTTGTTAAAATACCCAAACTGATCATTGATAATTAGAAATGATAGAATCTCAATTAAAATTTGAATTGATTTGAATTTGATTGCATGGCCCTAGTATATGGACAGCCACATCCGAAGAAAACAGGATCAGATTGGATGATTTGGGCATCTGAAAAGTTAACTGGGAAAGTTTTAATATTAGGTTGTTCATATATAAAATAACATTGTCTTTATGGTACCAGGTATTGGGTTAAATACAAAACAAAACAAAAATTAACATTCAAATGACATTTTATAGATGCTATGATATACTAAAAATATAAATAAAAATATTACAGTATTTAGATATGTAACTAGTCCAATAGTCACCACACTTACTGTTATACTAGACTCTATTGGAGCCATTAAAAGTGCAGCATATACTGTGGTAGTGGTTCAAGGTACAGTACAATTATGTGTGTGTCCAAAGACATGGCTCCCTCTCTTGAACATGTCTCCTCTAATGAGCTGGTGATTAACGATAATGTATCTCATTAGTTAAAACAGGACCCGTAATGACAGAGCAACATCAGCCATCACTTTATGTCTTTCAGGAAAGACCATAGACACAGGTCAGTTTAGAAGATTATCCAACTCCAGAAGATATAGCTGCAAAAATAAATCTGTTAATTATGTGCTAATTATTATTATTATGTATATGTGTTTCAGTATACTTTTTGACAGGGTAAGTTTAGATAAATTTGAGCAAAAATGTAAACTACTTTATTACGGGTGTAACTGTCAAATTAAAAACTTGACAGGGACTAAACCAAGTTAAGATTGGACTTAGGTGTGCTCTGTGTACCTTTTCGGATAGTGGGATCTGCCAGATGCTTATTGCTTTTCAGAGAATGTTCAGCAGTATGGCATTAAACTTATCTCTCTTGCATTTATCTGAGTTTCAGGTGCTTTATCGCTAAAAAATACCCCAAGCAACATGCATTCTGGTCAAGTCTGGTCACCTCTTCTCAAATTATATCTGTAATTTGGCCTAGTTGACCCATGTACTTGTCAACTAGGAGATGAAGTGTAATGCCATACTGTGGAACATTCGAAGCTGATGTCATCAACATTTCTTGGAGGTGTGAAGCGAACTGAAAGCACTACTGTTAAAAGCTCTGTGACTCAAGTTAGACTTTAATCTGAGCTTTATTTTAACACAATCTGATCAGAAAGAGCTGACTTGGTTGGAGCTACAACAGATGAACTGATTTGTGCTGTTAAACAAGTCTGTCACACATAAAATTACAGTTAGCCAACAGTTTTTCAGCCACTTTCACGTTTTTTATTGAAAATCAAACACCCATAAAGTACCAAAAATGTGCATTGTGTCACCATGGGAAGCGCTAAACATTCTGCTAATAGAAATGCATTATAGAACACCCCCAGCGGGATGTCACTGCAAAGTATCCATATTGTGCAGTTCTAGTTTACAGTAAAAATGTCTATTAAATCTGTGTTTGAATACTTATCTTACAGTTCTACACTGACCGTATCCATTCTGGGCAAAGGGTTGGGTACACCAGTCTTTCGCCAGTGATCTGCGACGCTGAGGAATGCTAATAGTTTGCAACTTGAGCTAGTGTCTCTACAGTACTACCCAAACAGGCTCCTGAAAACCACACCATGAATGTTCCATCACTCACATTGAGAGATCAGTATCTTAATAGTTAAAAATAATCGATATTTTACCAGACCTCGCCCAGCTGCGCCCATAACTCTTGTTTGCTGAGTCCCGGGCACAGTATCAGTCTTATTTTTGGGGCATGCTCTGTCTACAAAGAGTTTTATCCTGAAAGAAGATAGGCGGATGACATCAAGCCACTGAAGGGGCACTGCAGAAGCATCAATCACTTCCTCTCAGTGCAAATTTAGATGCCGTCATACCTACATATATACTTTGTCACTTTTAAATGTCTCTGCTAATTTTAATTTGAAATACAGATAATATTTTGCAGCTTGCTTACCCTTCAGCATTGTTGTTGCCTTTATATGAGCATAGGGATATTTGTATTAATATTTTAACATACATAATATCCTAGACTTTTTTATGGTACCTGAGCTAAGTATATTGTTGTTTTTGTTTTGCTGATTGACAGAAAACTACTGAAATTGCTTTGTTAGCCTCCAAAGCTAAGTGCTAAGTGATCATTTTGGAAAAGTTTTACATGCTGATAACAATCTCATATTAAAGAAAAAATTTAATACACATTGTTAGTCATTTAAATTATGACACATGGACATTTTATGGATTTTATGCATTTGGATTCAACCTCCTCATTAATTATTCTTAGCACTTATTATAGTAACACATTTGTGAACTTATTGAACTTGAGGACCCCCTTGAAAATGAGAAAAAAACACCTCAAGGGGTTATTTCTCTTAAAGAAATACCAGGCATTTGTCAGTTCTGTATAAGTTGTGGTTTTCCCCAATACTTAATTATTATGTATATTCCTCTTTTTCTTTCTTACTTTTAGAAAGTTTCATGTACTTAGAGACAGCACAAACTGGGATCCTCTTTTCTTCATAACCTCATCAGGTAAGATTACTGAAAATTACTGCAGTTATTAAGGATATTGTAGATTGTGCAGTTATATTAAAGATCTGAACATGACAAAACACTATAAGTTTGGAGTTTGTTTCTATTGCAGTACATGAGGACTTGTTTTGTGTATGTTGTTGTGAGTGTTGCGTGTTGACATAGAGGGGCTCCCTCTTTAGCACGTTCATAAAAGTAGCATTTAGCATTGTCACAACAGCTTCTTAGGAAAACCAGCCTCCATCAAACAAGGGCAATGATGCACTACAAAGTCACAGCCCCCCACACCACAACACTGGCACTGCCTATGTTGCATACAGTTCTAGTACACCGCTCCATGACATAGTTTTTCTGAGTGATATCCACTGTGAAGTTATGGTGTTGATTAGCGCAGTGACAGGTGCCATGATTAAAATGGCCGATAGTAATAGTGCAGCATTCATGCATTGACAACTTTGCTCTGCCTGGCTTTGTGAGTGGTGATGTATGACACCATTAGGGTAACCTCAGGGCCCTGGAGAACACTTATCTCCCTCGTCACGTCCTTCACACTTCCCATTCTGCCTCTAACAAAAGGACGCCTGCTCCAGCCTGCTCCAGCCTGCATGCATATCAAGTGTGTGTGTGCGTGTGTGTGTGTGTGTGTGTCCGCTTTATGTCTGCCAATTCTGCTCGGAGCATCTGCTTTAGCATGTAGCATACTTCATTATGCTCACTAAAGGCCTCTGCTGTATATTACATTTATATTATGATATAATGCTATCATGTAACTGGGAATTCATTTGCCTTAAGTAAAAATCTAATCTGATTTAAGCTATGGCTGCAGATCTGTAATTACACTGCGGGTTGCTCTGTTTTAGTACTTATGTCAGCAGTAAGTAAATGAAAATAGATGTAATTCTAACTGGGCATAGTTCACATACAATAAGTATTTGTAATGGAGTTGAGAAGGAATCATAGACATCCACAGACGTGTCACTTGTACTGCATTCAGTGATGGGAAGAATACTTTGAAAATGTATTTAGTTACTTACCAACATTGATCTGCATTATCCGCAAACAGTTGTGACATGCCAGTTGAAATCATCAGAAAACATTTTTACCTTCTACATCATCAATACAAAATAATGTGTTCTATTCCTGTCTGTGATTCATCTACAGCTATTTAAGATCTACAAAATATGGCTGCAAAATATTGTGAAAATTGATTTCAAAATACTGTAACATAATAATTTTCCTTTTTACAGCTCAACAGAAGATAGATGCTGACCTGTGCTCTTCCAAATGGACCTCAGGTGATTTTGACTTTATTTAAACTGTTTTGTACAAAGAGTCTATACCCAAGAGCCTGTGCCCATGGGGCCTGTGTGTCGCGCTGCGCTGGGCAAATGTTTGTGAGAAGACCTCTGTAAACATGCAGGAGGGTGGAGGGCTGACACCTAACACACCCCCTTCATCAGTGATACTGCAGTCATGTCAACGGAAGTGTAAACCAATCCGCAGTTTTCCTAACAAGTTGAACCAGGTCCAGAGCTCCCTGGCATCCTGAGACTCCAAACACATGTCCCCTCCTCAAAAATATACACACCCTTATTTCTGGTGGCATGCAACCCCTTAATTATTTTAGTGTGCTGAATTTGAGACGATTGGGTTCTTAAAGCTTTGGAGAGGTATGGAGTCAAAATACTGACGAACAGCAAGAAGAAGCAAAGGCCTGAGAAGATATTTCAGCAAGGGTCAGAGGTCAAATTTTAGACACACACATGCACAAACTGCTGTCCCTGTCTCTCCCAGCTCTAATGAGAGACACAGACTCAAGTGCTAAGCTCTCCATTTCCCTGCACTGATAACATTTGTAATAGAGGCACTTACTATGGACTGGCAGCTTCCTCAGGCTGAGTGCTGGTTTCCAGGTTGTGTCAGAGCAAAGAGGCTGAAGAGGAGCCTGAATGTGCGAAGAGCCTGGTGTATACACAGCCATTAACAAACAAACTGGAGTGATCGGGTCAAGTGCCCTCTGGGGCGCAGGACATATTTGTAAAGCTTGATCTGTTTGTTATTAAACCCGCTGTTTATTATTAGACTTTATTACCAACAAATATTATTTACAAATACTGTATAATTTAGTACATTTTAGTCCCTAAATATTTTTTATTACCACTAATTAATCAAATCCTGTTATTTGGTCAAAACAAATTCTTCTCTCAAGCTGCAACAACAGTTACGTCTTCTAATGTTTCACAAATTCTTCCATTAGATAAATTGACTTCATAGCATTAGAATTCCTCCTTGTTGTAGAACGAATCAGGCTGTTTTTAAAAGTACCTTCCCTAAAGATATTAGTTTTATCAGTGACAAGTCCCTTATCTTTCATTATAATCTTAACCACCACTAATTATTATTATTTGCTCAAACCACTAAATTGTTTCAAAATATTTTTATTAGATATATTGACACTATATTAATAGATAAGGATTTCATGTTATAGATTGAATCCAGGCTACATCCCGAGTCTTTCAGCTATGTGAAGTATTGAAGTTCAAAAGTAAGTTGTACAAATGACCTACAGAGATGGCACTCCCAAATGGCAAGTCTAAAAGGAACAACTCCGATAAATCACGAGGAGAAACTTGAGTCTGGAGCACTCAGAGATTTATCGGCAGCTGTATTTTTCTAGTGTCAACTGATGTTCCATAAGACTTAGCCAGCGTCTTGCATTGCCTCCACTCGTGCTCAACCCCGTCCAACTTCTGGACACACACAATTACACGGAATTACACACAAGTGTTGCAAAATTAACCTCTGTGAAATCAAAATCGCAATTTGAATGGGCGCAGTTAGCAAATCGCAAAGGCTATGATTTTAGCACTGTTACCCCCACGAACATTAAAGTATCCTGTGTTGCTCTGCATTGAAACTGCTAACCGTGTTGTTTAAAACTCTACAAACTTTGGCTTAGTATATTTTTTTACTTTTTTATTACTGTTTTTATTTGATTTACTCTTTTTTATTGTCTCAATTTCTCCGTGCAGCACTTTGGAAACTGTCATGTTCATAAAATGTGCTATATAAATAATGTGGATTGTAATGGATTCTATGTGTTTTTCTTGTACTAGTTTGTCTGTTCATATTTTGTCAATTCTTCAGGACACGTTTAAAATGTGACCTTTGAACAAAATCCTCTTAAAACAAAAATAAATCACTAATCTGATGGCAATGCTTGTAAAAAATAACGCAATCCGATATCTTTCCCAAATCGTACACACACATGCCCCCCACTCTTCAAATCCATCAACAGCAATCGTCCATTTGAATTTGAGCGCTATTCCTGTGAGACTGTTCAACACCACACATTGAGATGAGTGGCAAAGCACTAGTGCTAGCATTAGCCCACTTATCTTATTAGTGGGGCGGGCGCTCTCACTTGATACCCCTCAGGCTTCAAAGAGCAGGCCTGGCGTCCCTCTGGCTCGCCCACTGGGAGGGGGCATGCCTCACCCGTGTCGCGATGAGTTTTCTCTTTGGCAGTTGGTGCACATCTTACCATCTTACTGTCATTCTATCGTTGTACATCGAGTCAATGTAAACTATTAAATAACATGTTTTAAAATAGTTTATAGCCACACTGGACAGTTGAGTCCAAGACAGATTTACCATACCACCATTTGACGTTTAGCTTCAAGTATTTTAATAGCAGATTAGGTTTCAAGATGTAAACAGTGAAAGTAGATATTTGTAATACTTTTGCTTGAATTACTGAAATGACAGAAAGAAAGAAGAAGTATTTTTATGTATTATGCGTTTTTATGTTAACTATAATTTAACTAAACCATGAACAAAGACTTGATTATAATGAACAAATAGTTTTTTAAAGGTGCAACTTTTCTGGTGGTGGGTCAGTCAAATGCTTGTCTTCATCGAGATGTTATTGCTTTATCTGGAATGTTTCACAGTATGATATAAAACCTTTCTATCATGGAGACCAAACCAGACCAAGTTACAGGTCAGATCTATGGAGAGGTGACCCTGCTCACAGTCAGAATCCCTGTTTTTCTAGTAGGTATTTTTGAGCTATAGCATTACCTATAAATTAATAAATGTAAGGTGGAGTTGTTTAATGTCATACCTGGCAGAGCAATGGCATGACAGGTGACACACCCCCAACATTTAATACCCTAAACTTATCTCTTGTAATTCTTGATAAACTTTTGTTCAGTATGAATTAAGTCCTATTCATGCTTTATTAAGAATAATTAAACTGTAGGTGTTATAAAATGGTTCCGGAAATTATAATATGAACTAAGGAATTAAGGTAGTTGTAACGGAACAATCTGACACCATTCTTAAAAGTCTTGATGCTTTGGATTAGATCATTAAATACAGCAACGTATAACATTACATAATATTATTGGGTCGCCATTAGCCAAAATATGTCAGGATCAAATGTCTCTTGATAATGACCCTTCATGTAGCTAATCGCAGGGCTGTCAGCGTTTCCTGTTTAACCTTTGACCCCTGGGTTTATATTTGGATGGACACAAAGCAAACCAACATGTATCAGTGGCCTCTTTCACATGCTCACCAAAATCTGATTATAATCAAATGTCTGGACCGTTAAGATTACATAAATGATATTTAAAATGGAAAATCTGATGTGAGTAATCAGAGGCACCATGATTAAAAGAAATTTGATGGTTTTACTGTGTACATGTCATTTTCATAATCTTATATCTCCAAAAATCTGATATTATGTGATCAGATTTTGAGTTTGCATGTGACAATAGGCACTGTTTTTGCATTTATACACAATTTTATCTTGGCTCTTAGACTTAGACTTAGACCAACTTTATTGATCCACAAGGGAAATTACTTGGACACAGTAGTATATGTTGTGGTTGGAAAAAGGCAATTGAGAATAATACTATACAGTAAAGTTGTAAGGAAATATAAAATGATGAAACTCATAAAGGTGCACTGTGTAACTTGTGTGCTGGAAGTTCCATCACCTGCTTATCTCCATGGAGATGTACCTAAAATATTCCACAGTATGGCCATAAATTCATGAATCTCCATTGAGACTTGCAAGACAAATTACAGATTAGATTTATGAAGATTCATGGTAAGAATGGATGTTTTTTTTAAAGATATTTTTGAGTAATAAATAACCCCTGTTGAATAAACGCAAGACAGATTTGTTTAAACCCCCACCAGAAAAGTTACTTGTGACAAAAAAATATTACTTTTACAATATTTGCCGATTATGTTGCAGGAAGGAGTACACGTATGCCTTATTTACCTTATATTGCAAGTGAATGACAGTAACAAAATGTATCCGACTCAGTTTCACTGCTATGATCTATGTGTATTTTTAAAGTATTTATTTTCTCTTTTGCAGACATATTGACCCACTTGCAAGAGCTGAAGAAGGTGCAGGTGATTGGCAGGTGAGTGGGGTAGTGGTAATGATACGTGTAAAGGACTCGGGCTGTGTTACTGTAAGTAGCCACACATAAGTCTAACCTTTAGCTGCTGACTGAAAACTGAGCTGAGCAGAAGCACTTTGATGATGTGAGCCTCCATGCATCACAAACACACAGCTGCACCATGCACACCACACACCAAGCAGTCTTATTTTGAACCTGACTGTGAGGTATCCAGGCTGACACCTCCCTCTATCCTCACAGCTACAACGTATGATCTATTAGAATATGTTTGGAAGTGTTCAATTAACCTACTGACAAATGCAAATGTATTGGTTACTTCCCATTCCAGTATTTGCACCTTCTGAATTGCACTGATACTGTTTGCACTAACCACGCTACAATGTAATGCCCTACATGCATTTGTGGTTAATTTTTTGCAAAAAATTGGGGCCTTAGTAGCCTTTACTTAGACTTAGACATTATTATTGATCCACAAGGGAAATTATTTGGACACAGTAGCTCACACATCACAATATAATATAATAACAGAGAGCTAAAATGTAAATGGGAATGATTAGTAGTGATAATAAATTTTGAAGTACAATATATAGCTTTATAAATATAAGCAATAAACAATAATATTGATAACAAAACATAAAACAGAATTATCCCCCCAGAAGTATTTTAATGTAGTTGGCTTGTCTCTATAATGAGTCACAGAAGTTCATAATTCAACTGTCTACAGCTCAGAAAATACAGAAAAATAACCAACATTTTCCCACTAGTGTAAAGAAAAATTTCTCGCTATTAATAGTTATACTCAAATTATTGTTCAATCTCCAATTCAGCTTTATCTGTATAGCACATTTTATAAACAATATAAAACATAGCAATATAAAACACGTAACTCTAAAAAGTCAGCAGTATTATGTTTCCAACAAACAATAAATAAGAAACAATAGATAAAAATAATATAATCAAAGAATCAACATAATAAGATCAATAAATAAAAGCGATGCTGAAAATAATCAAATCTGTCATGTATTGAATGATGAGTTGATATAGTAATTATTGGGACAGGCCTATTTAATATTGGATGTTGGTGTCTCATTCTGTGTGCCTCTGCAAACAGGTGACAGTGTTCCCTTTCTTGCCTTGTCCCTGTCTCCCACATTGAGCCTGGCCTATTCTGGAGGAGAAAGTGCTTACGGACCAGAGCTATTCTTAAAGGGGCCTGTGAACATGCTGGGTGGCGCTCACCTGCCCTCCTTTAGCTCACTTTCATTCTCACACTTTCTTTTTCTTGTGTCGCCCTCTCATTCGGCCCCGCACACACATACACTTGTCACCATAAAACAGGTTGTGTTGTCGAGTTGCCTGTCACCATGCTTGTTCGGCTGGGGCCATATATGAGCCCTCTCAGCTGTTCCTCACAGTTGAACCACAATTAACCTCAGACACATGCATACCAGCACACATACACTTCTGCACATAGTTTGCACTCTGAGACTCTCTCCTTCTCACAGCCACTGCCCTTTCACTATTAGCTCTGACTGTGCAACCCAATCCCACCCGAGCCCAGATCTGCACTCCATCAGGGGGATGTGTCACTGTGTTTATGGCATTTCTGCGCTCTGTGTGAACACACACACTGCTTTCCTCTTTCTTTCATTACATCTTTTTTCAAAACTGTAAATATCAAGGGCTCTGTTTACTCTAAGTACAGCCTAAAACCACACTAAACCCCTATAATGCAAACACATCTGACCTCTGTAATTATGCCACTATTGCATTCCCACAACACGACATGCATTCAAAGTATCTCTTGACCCTGTAGATCTTTTATAAAAAATAAATGCATAAACCAAGACAAGTCTATCTCTGCTGGCTGTGTAAACGTGCACTTGTTACCAGTGAAATCCTTCTGTAGTTAAACAGGCAGGTTGACTGTGTTTGTGGACAGTGTGTGCTGCTGTAGTCTCACAGCCTGGGCTCCTCTGAAGCTCAATACAGCCGTGAAACGTGTTGAAATGTCCCCACTCACTCCATCACCATTTCGAAAGTGATCTGATGGAGATATTACCTAAATGGCTGCCAAGCTGTGGGCTGCTAACTAAATGCTAATGTGTGTCATAGACTGGTTTAGGATTTATGACTCGCCATCTGCTCTGCAGCATACAGTACAATGTTAGCTAACAATGTTAGCTTTGATCAAAGCCTCCCTCTTCATTTCTTCAAATCACTCATCTGAGCGAGAATTAGCACCAAGTTAGATTTCCCTTCACTTGTTATGACATTTCATTCATGCAGTTTAGCTACAGTTTACAGCCCTGAATAGTAGATTTTAAGACATTGCTCTAATGATGTGTCATATTGTTATGGCCTAATGAAAGCAAACAAACAAAACAGTGTTAAAAAAAAACACATTCGACTGTACACTCACTGCATAAAATGTCATTGAAAATGTCATTTAAAATAAGCTTGTCTTGTTACTTAATGCTCAAACACTATGTGACATTTAATAGAAGCTGTATAATGAACCAACCATTTGCTTGTGATCTGTATGGATCTGAGAGGGAAAATAGTGAACTTTGTGAAGAATTCTATCCAATCCATCTGTCCAAACAAGTTTATTCTAGCATTTGTCTTCCCAGAGAAACCTTTGGGCTTGGAGCGTGCCTAATGCCATTTGATGAAACAGTAAAGATTGTCCATATCTTTTCCACAGTAAAAGGCTAATTGCTCCGCTGTAGTCAGATTTACGTCCTCCCCATTCTCCTTTATGTAGCTGCCGTCTGTAAGCCCTCACACTGCCAGTCTCAGAAGGGGTGTATGTTATGATCCTGTGTCAGCCAAATCAATCCTTATCAATTTTAAAGTTCAGATTTTTATTTCATGGCTTTCAAGGGAGCGTCTCTCAAGCGAAAATGACAATTCTTCAGCTCTTTTTCTGCCCCCTCCTTTATCCCATCTGTGTCCATATTGATTGTCTGTGTGTGTGGCTCCCCTGCGGTTTTTCCACCCCTGAGCGGCCCCTTGGACACTGCCTGAAGACGGAGTTGAGTTAAATAATACTAACTAGACTAGAGCCAGTGATCTGTCTCAATGCAGGGCCCCGATGCGTCTCCGGACAGTCTGGGATGTGACCTGCTGGGGACAAATTGGGAATGTGGAAAATATTTTGAGCCATAATTAAACGTCGTAAATGTTCGTTATGTGACGTCATCCGGATAACTTCATATGTTAAACCGGAAATCTTCTTTTTTAAATTTTTTGCAAAACTTGGGGCCTTAATAACCTTTACTTAGACTTAGAGTTTATTGATCCACAAGGGAAATTATTGGGACACAGTAGTTCACACATCACAATATAATATAATAATAATAAGGAGCAAACATAAATAATAATAATAAATTCAATATAAGCAAAAATAGCAATATACTGGTGTCAAATAATGCATAATATTTCTATACTTTTTACATTTTTGAATGTCTTGCAAAAATTTTGAACTTGAGACCTGGTAAGGACAGATTGGGAATGTGGAAAATAGTTTGTGCCATAATTAAACGCTGTTAATGTCCGGTATGTTACGTAATCCGGATATCTTTGTATGTTAAACAGGGATTGGACAGGATCTTGCAAGATAAAATTGCCATAAGATTGTGTGCACATGAAGAAATTTATCTTGTGAGATTTTTTATTTCATTTGTTTAAATATAGCCAGAATGAAGCTCAGGTTGAAATGAGTAGTGCTACAATTACAGTTAGTTAACAGATAACCCTATGTCCTGTGAATCATCATATAATCTTTGCACTGTTTCTGCTTAAAACCTCTCATTTTATTTTTACTTGTACGTACACAATTAAATATAAAAGTTTAGTTTACTAAGATCCCCATTAGCTAGTCACTATTCTCCCTGTTGTCACTTCAAATTCATATCAATACCTATTTTTATTTTACTATACACAAAGTCTCATTTAGAGAATACATTTAACATGGAGAAGTAACATTAAATTAGTCAAGAATGGAGAGACTATAATTGTGCATTTCTATTTGAATCTAAGTGCTAGAGAGCCTTGTGTCTTGGTGATTTTTCTGTTCTGACCTGCTCCCTGCTCTTCTGCTGCGGCAAACACAGTAGTCCCTGATAGTGCCATGTCCAAGTATTTACTGGCAGCCAACAAAGTTTATCCCCTGGGTTTCTTTGACTTTTTTTCCTTTACAACTTGTGTCAGGTAAACATTGAAGTGCTGGAGATTAAGCTGAGGCGCTGTGTATTTGTGTGTATGTGTACAGTTGAAGCGATAGCTGTGAGGCCTCCAAACAGTAAACTAATGGTTCAGCGCTAACTGCCGACTAAGTGGGTGGGACAAGGATGGCCTGACCCTGCTGGCCTTCCCACCAGTCCCCTCTAACAGCTTTGGCCTCGGGGTCAGCTCAATTTCCCCACTGCTGAGTGGTCATTACGGAGCACAGCTTTGATAAATGCTCACGGCTGCTGCTGCTCCTGCTGCCTTGGAGCTTTGCACTTTTCCCAGGCGCAAAGATCTCCACTGGGCAGCCTCGCAGAGATGGTAGAAACGAAATGGGCTGAAGAAAGAAGAGAAAACTGAAGAGGAAGAGAAGAGATGGACAAGCAAAGAACAGCCAATCACAAACACTGAGACTGAGACCTCACATGAGCCCAATGTGACCTAGCAACCAAATGGTTTGATCACATGCTTATAGGTCAAAAATTAGACAGGAGATTGAGAGTGACACAGGAAGGATATTGGAAGTTGTAATCAGAAATACTTTTTTTCAGCATTTTTATTTCCACAATTCAGGCACATTATTTTAAGTAATACTTATAATATTGTATGTAGCACTATATGCCCGCTACAAATTAATTACTACAAGTAAACTACTTCTCCCCTAAAGATCAACAACTGAACACAGAACAAAGGTTTTCAAAGGAACATCAAGAGGCAGCCCATTTGTTTTAAGTACGTGAGGATCTAGGGTACTCAAACTTTTACTGAATCATTAAACACCACAACAGACTCTAGTTGAAATAGATACAGTACACAACTTAAAATACAATTGAATAGTGTATTTATAAACCCTAAAATAGTCTTTTCTCCTATACAGATACCAACTGCTCCACTCAAGTCCATCCAAGCCCTTTGCAGCCTGAAGTGGAGACACAGGGATGGGTGAGTGTTTACAGCATTGGTTTGTATCTTACCACAGTTGAGGAGTTGATGGTGATGTTGATTATTTGTGGACTATAAAAGACATGCAAACAAGACTCCACTGATGGACCCATGGCATGAAAAGGACCTTGTAATTTCGTTTCCATTTTAACCCCTTTTGTATTTTACTACTGCTTATATAATATGCCCAGGTTAAAAATGTGACACAATCAATATGTAAATGAAATATAATTGTTTTTGGCTGACAGGACAAGTACACTCGCCCACCTGGTTTATCTGCAGTTTGTTTATCTTGATATTTTAGGCTCAGGCCCTTAATTTACTTAAAGAGGGGGTATTATGCAAAATTAACTTTTTGGAGCTTTCTACCATGTTATAATATTGTTCCCTCATGAAAAATATGCCTAATGTAGTTTTATATGTTTTCCATACATGCGTTTTATTAGTGGAATGCATGTTGATTGTAATGGGATAGTGGTCTGAAGGGGGAGTCACTTGGTGCTGGAGGGTAGTGAAGGAAAGTGAGGCTTCAGAGTGTCAGAAATGAAAGTGAAACAAATAAAATATCTCAGCACATTGTTTTTGGTGAATATAGCATTTTTGAAAACAACAAAAGGTAAAATGATGATCAGGGTGGACTGACAATCTGTATTTTCTGGCCGTCCAACCGTGGCTGACTTGAGTGGAGTGCACCTGCCCTCCCAGACCTCTAATTTTTCTGTGGGCCGATTTGTGGGGGAAAAGTTAGGGGCCGTTTTTTGATCCCATTCCGCTCCTGATGGTGAGCCAAATATGCTATGTGTTAGCAATTAGTACCCCAAATAAGTGTAATACCTCTTCTTTAATATCAAGCTGTAGACTTAACACGCAGGATATATGTGACCAGTAAAATCTTGGAAAATGACAATTAAATGTCAATAATTAGTCTGATGCTCCTGGTGACATGTGTCAGTGACAGGTTATTATGCAAAATTGACTCTAGTGAGATTTAAGCCATTTTAGAATGTTGATCTCTCATCAGAATGGTACCTGAAGTTGTGTTTTGTTTCATTAACACGCTTGAGTAATCCTTTATTATTAGTTTGTCTACATCTCCAAATTTTAAAATGCCCTGTTCCATATTGTGATATGGTAGTTCAGTAGGGAATGGCAATTCCAGTGTTGAAATTATCCAAATGACTGTAGTGAAAGTGTATGGAGTTTAAAAACACAGTGGAGTACTTCCTTTATTACCATATGATATCACAAGGTGGAACAGTGTATTCAATTTGATAGAAGAACCCAATTTAAATATGCAGGCTTTGTGTGTTAAACATGTCTGAATGAAATAAAACACAACTACAAGTATATTTTTGGTGAAGAAACAATGTTATAACATAGATTACAAAAAAACGTAATATGGGCCCTTTAATCAATAGTTTTTTGAGTGACTGTTGTATTTGGAAGACATTGTACAATGACTCTTTATAATCTTGTCTTCTCCACATTAATTTGCTATTTTTGCATAATTTTCCTTGTCAAAACCTGCACATTTGTGAACACTCTGAAGTCTGATCACCCACATAAGATTAACTGTTTACATGACATTCCAATAATCTGATAACTCCAAAAATCAGATCACAATCAGATTTCTTGTGTGCACGTAAACTTAGTCATTGATGATAGAACAGCTGTTGTTTCCTTATTGAGTCTGGAATAGTGCCCCTGCTGCCTGTATATTATCTCATTTAATGACTCTGGCAATTCAATGAAACTTGAAAGCACTAATAAAGGAAACTACTGAATACTTGCTGACTGATTTGCCTTAAAGCGTGTAGGCCAACTTCTCTGATTTTGCACTTATGGTTGCTGTTGTTAAGAACTGTAACAAATGTGCAGCTAAAATCTCTCAATCATCCACAAACAACTAGGCCACCTAAATCTGAACCAAATGTTGGACTTGCACAATAAACCCCTTTCGTTGAATTTGTAATTTTTCTGTAAATTTTCAGACTCACTCAAACACAAATTAACAACTTCACAGACTGCATAAATAAACAGTGTTAGACATGCAAACTAAACCAAGTCCACCCCGGTCTGGTTCAGAAGCTTTGAAGTCTCTCAGTTAAAAGGGTTTAAACCCCGGAGCTGGTATGTTTAGTACACATACGACATGTGTTTGTTTAGTCACAAATGAACAAGAGACTTCACAGCACGCAGGCTGTTAATCTCACACCTCTGTGCTCCTCTGTTATAGTTTGTGCTTCTCTTCCACATATCAGGTTTTTATTGTGTATTGTAATGCAAAAACTCATTGTTAGGGTTGTCAAAAGTATTAAAAATAAGATACTAACCAATACTCCAGCTAGTATCAAAACAGTAGATTCTCATATTTAGTACTGATACAAAAAAAAGCGACATTCACGAAACAGAAATGAACCTTTCTTGATAGCAGATATAACAGATATAAGACCACATGGTAATATAAAAGTTATTTAATGTTGAAAATCATATTATATTGTCTAAATAAATAGTTTTTTTTTTTACTATCCTCATGATATCAGAATCGGTATCAAGTATGGAGTCTATTCCTTCGTATCAAAATTGAGTTTGAAATTTTAATATTGTGACAACACTTTATCATGCTGGCTGAAGTAATAATCAATAACCTAAAATATATTACATTTAGTTTAATTAAAGACATGCCCTTTGTATTGATGAATTGACTTAAAGGGAGAGATGTTGCACAAAAAACCTCTGTACATCCAGGGAAGTACTAGTAAACAGCATTTTCATAAGTGAAAATGTAGATTAAACTGTCTGGCTCACTCACTCAGTCCTGCTCCTTACTGCATTATAATCCTAATAAGATAATGTGTTTACTAATACACAATTGGGCCTTCTAAGACACCAAATCGACCAAATCAAACCTTAAAGATGCATTGTGTAATTTTTCTGGTGGAGGGTCTCTCAAATGCTTTTCTCCATTAATCATATCTATCTTCCTGGAAACCAAACCGGACAGAGTTACATGTCAGATCTGCGGAGAGATCTGTGAGCGCCCCCTGGTCCTCAATTTCCACCATGGGCTGATTTGTGGGGGAAAAGTCTAGGGCCGTTTTTTTTTGTTCACCCGTGCAGCCAGGGTCTGTACTGTGGGCTCTTGGTGGAGGGTTGGTGCTTGGGCCTCATCTCTCCTCTGGGTCTTGTGGCGATTCCTATTGGCGGTGGATGGCTCTTTGCTCCTAATGTAGCTCCTCTGATGGTCCTTTCTCAACTGGTTCATCTGTATTCAGCCTCACATTTTACTATGCATAGTTTTGGGTGGCTTATAAATAAAGTTTGATTGATTGATTCAAACAAGCACCTGACAGACCTCCACCCAAAAAGTTACATAGTGCACCTTTGAGGTCCAAAAACATCATATTAATACCATTGCAATAGTACACATAGGCTGGTTTTAATAGGTTTACTATGTTAGTATAAAATTGTTTTCCTCATATAGTGTAAGCCCTACCACCTACTACTGTAGTATATTTTGCATTTTGAATGTCTGATTTTTGATTCCTTGTTAGCAGATACACATTTTAGGTGATTATTTCTTGTTTTGTCTAGATTAGGGCAGAAAACATCCTTTCCGTGTATCTGACAGAGAGAAGGGAGAATACAGGAGGGCGGGTGCAGGAGGCGGAGGAGCAAAGGTAACAGATTGGCTGTGAAATATTGTGCAGTCTGCCAGTTGCTCCATGATGTATTGGGAATCACTGGCTCACTAATTACCTTAAATTAACAGTAGAGTTGAGTGTGACAGTTCATGTAACTGTTTTTTCTGCTGCTACAGATGAATGGGCCGGGGGAGCGGATGCCAGAATGCTGTTGACAATCGAACTGGCTTTGAACTGCTTCTAATCAATTGTCTTTTCTCACACGAGCAGAAGGCTCGCTGCAAACCAAATGGATCTGAGAGGATTTCATTATCATTGTGAATGTGCAGTGTTTTGGGTGCTACTGACCTGTATTGGTTTGTTTCACCTTGCCTTTTATATCTTGCCAATATATTGACGGACTTGGCTATAGGGATATCTATTGATACTTGCAGCTGATGTCATCAGCATTTCCTGATGCTAACTGTAGGCACTGCTCAGTCTGAAGCTTGTTTACTCAAGTTAGACTTTAATCTGATCTTTGTTTTAACACAGTCTGACCATAAAGAACTGACTTAGCTAAAACCACACAGTTGTAGATGATTTGTACTTTTAAACAAGTCCCTCTCAAATAACATTGCAGTCACAACCTAGCTAGCACTCTCACCTTTTTGTTGAAAATCAAACACCTAAACCAAGGACCATGAACTCTCCCAGGCATCTGAAAAGTGTGTTGATTAAATGCATTTTGTATTTTTTGAAGAGTTTTCAGACAATCCTTTGTATATCATAATACTTTTGAATCATGTTTATGATCATGTGTGAATTTATCATAAATTGCTAAGTCATACTGTCAAATATCTGCCGAGTACAAGTGCATCAAGACTAAATCTGTTTTATTATTCAACATAAGGAAAACATCAATTTCCTATTTTAATACAGTAGATGGCAGATAGAGTAGAGTAGATAGCAGAACACTTCCAGGGTACCTCAGGATTTGATACACTGCTCATGTTATGAATATACTATACTATATGCTGATGTTTTAGTACACTATATCACAATTTCTTAATATAGCTACTGTTAAACTACTACCTGTAGAAGCTCATTATGAAATACACAACCATACAGCAACATGCAGTAACAATTTGATACTGATCCTGCATTACAAAGTATATCTGTATTTTTTATATTATTTCACACATTTGGCAGATAATACAAGAGGGATGGTCCTTCTTTGGCTGCCCAGTCCCCACTGAGGTTCATACTAGATATATAGTTACACGTTTACATTTAATGGACTTAAATCGTTCATATATTTATGTTAGTATGCACGTGTCTGAAGAGAGCAGAAGAGGATAGAGCCTGACGCTCTCATTCACTCATTCAGTGCATTTTTCCCTTTTGTCTAAAGAAAGCTCAGGGAGGATTTGTGGGCCTGTGAAAACGACCAAGAAAAATGTTTTCTGATAAATTATTCACTATCCCACAATCCCTTTTGGGCAGAGTGTTGCATCTGGCTGTGTGACGCATTACACCTTCACTTTTCCTGTCTTCCTCTCCTCCAGCCCTGCCCTCCGCTTTGCTTTGCTCCATCACTCCATCACTCTTCTAATGCCCTTTTCCTCTCTGTGTCTGTTCTTCTCTCTCTTTTTGGTATTCTGCTGCACTGGGCTCGCTCACTGGGAGAAGGGGCCAGTGCTTGGGCAAGCTGTTGCTGATAATGGCGGCAATTAATAACATGTCATAATCCTGCAGAGAGGAAGAAGAGGATGTGTGCAGAGCCTCGGGAAGTGTGGGGCAGTGTGCAACAGACTAACTAGAGTGACCAGGCTGCAGCCAAAAAACACATGATTTAAATCTTTGTACAAGTTGAAAGTAATCTGATTGGTTTTTAAGGTGCATTATGTAACTTTTTGGTGGAGGATGCCCCATTTGCTTGTTTCCATGGAGAAAAATTTATTTGCCTCTAATGTTTCATGGTATGGTATTATCTTCTTGGAGGAAAGTAGGTGCTTACAGGTCAAATCTATGGGGTGGCAAACTTCTCCACTATAGGGATGTTTTTCAAAGTATTTCTAAATGGAATATTACAGATAAAGCAAAGACATCTGCATGGGGGCAAGCAGGTGTCAGACCCTCCACCACAAAAAAAAAATAGTAAAAATATAAGGGCTACAAAAATAAATAAATAAAATATGGAAATTTTTTTACAGTTGTTTAGCAGGGGCACAAAAAAACATTTAAAGATGCATTGTGTAATTTTTCCCTATGGAGGATCGGTGGGCCTGGGCAGCTGTCAGGAAGGGACAATTGCATGCCGGGCGGTCGCGTGGGAGGTGCGTGCACGCCAGGGCGAGGGCCATCATCGACGCGGGTGGCTTTAATTACTTTTGTAATGTATTTGTGAAGTGTCTTTATAACTTTGTAAAGAAATGGCGTGATGTCAAATTGCATGTATACTAGTCTGTGGGAAAGTCCTCATGAGCGTGCCGTACATTCTGGGTTCTTGTGTTGTACTTAGAAAATAGGATGAGCCGTGCAGCTGTAGGTCTTCAGAGGGCTTAAGCTCAGTGGACACAGGTGTTCTTTGCAGAGGTCATAGGGTCATACACACACATACACTCTGCATAGACATACACATACAAGCACTACATATACACTTACCCACACGCACATAGGGCTTCTGCGTGTCAGTGTACTGCACCACAGGCCAAGTCTCACCACACTGGGACATAGCTCAGCACAGAGATAAGTGAAAAGAAAGAGTACCTTAACATTCACTCTGTTCATAGATCTACAGTTAATATGAATGCACTTACTTATTTGAATGTCGCAATAAATTATGTATTTTATAAACAGACTTTACATTTACTAGTGAACATTTATACATATCATTCAACTGATTTGGTACATTGCAAAAACACCATAGCCTTAAATATTTAAAAATGGTTTGATTTTAGTTCTTGCATTTGGTCTTTTACTAAAAAAGATTTGCTAATGGAACAAGTACCTGTTGCACTTAAAGGAACGCTATGTAACTTGTAAAGTGGAGGGTCCACTACTTGCTTGTTATTTCTTTGCCTGAAATGTTCCACAGTAGAGAGTTTAACATATCTGCCTTGTATTTATTCAGTTACAAGGGTTTTATAGCTTACATTAAAAACATGAATTCTAACCATGTACAGCTTGCTTACTTCTTCATAGATCTGACCATGATTGGTTAGATTGGTTAGATCAGATCTATTGTGCTTTTTCCATACTGTGGAATAAACAAGGCAAAACAGTAATATCTCCATGGAGTCAAGCAGTTGGCAAACCCTCCACCAGTGCACCTTTTAAATTGAGAAAAAATACTCTATTGCCATATATTCATACTTCAATAAGTGGTCAGAATCTACTCATATCCAACCTCCTCTGTGGTTCTCTGTTTGGACGTTTACAGTGTTGTTTTATGATCACCATAATGATATAAACAGCAACATCCCATCCTCTTATTGCTTGATCACAGCATAAAGACAAGACTTTTTTTGTCCATATATTCCTGTGTCAGTGTTTCCTTCTCTGACCAGGTGCACAGCTGTGTATACTGTAGCCTCACCTCTGTGCAAACAGCAGCAGACAGGTGTGACCTTAAACTTGAATACTTTCTCCCACATTTAGGACACAGTTACAGAAAAAGTAGGCTTGTTATGATAACAAATATTGAAGATATATTACGTAAAGGTGCACTGCACAGCTTTTCTGGTGGAGGGTCTGCTACCTACTTGTCTCTATGGAGATGTTATTGCTTTGCCTGGAATGATCCATGGTATGATGTTAAACATTTAATCATCCCTTGTGATAGATAGGTTCTAGACAAAGCAATAACATTTCCATGGAGACAAATAAGTAGTGGAACCTTCATCAGAAAAGTTGCGCAGTGCACCTTTTAACAGTTAACATTACCTCTAGCAGTTTACCCATCCAATAACTTTTTCGTTGTAACTCTCTTCCTGTACCATCTTGACCCCCATGTCTCTGTGCTCTTGTGTTGTCGTGTTATATCACAACAAGTCCAGGTGAGAACAAACTGAGCAGAGCGCTGGTTTCAGGGACTAGGTGCAAAATTCCTTCTGCAGTGTGTGGCACACAATCTCTATAAGCAGCTAAAGGAGGTATAACTTAGTCTAATGGTTTGAAAAAAATTCCATTACTAATGAAAGAACAGGACAAGACAACAGCTCTCAAGATGAAGTGATTTGATGTGTGCTATGAGATAAGAATTTCTTAACATGTGTTGATATGTTATGTTATTTAAAAGTGCACTATGTAACTTTTGGGTTGAGGGTCTGTCACCTGCTTGTTTCTATGGATATGTCATTGCTCTGCTTAGAATATTCCACAGTATAGCATTGTCAGCTCTTACTTACATTTATTAAATTTCAGTTTTATAATTCAACAATGGCTAGGAAAAACAGGCATACTGACTGTGAGTGGGGTCACCTCTCCACAGTTCTGGCCTCTAACTTGGTCTCCATGAAGATAGAAAGGTTTAATACCATACTGTGAAACATTCCAAACAAAGTAATAACGCCTCAAGGAAGAAAAGCATTTGAACCGTTAATGCACCTTTAAATTCTGTTCAGCTCTTTGAAAGTTGGAAGGCTATTTATACAATTTCTGATCATGCAGCAGACACACACAGCCACAATCTCTGCCAGAACCAAAATCATGTGGAATCTTCATCTTGCAAATATTTATATAAGAATAATTTGTCACACTGGCAAGTTGTTATGTATTAGTCAGTGTGGACTCTACAATATCTCTATTTAGAAAGATAATAAGCTATTATTTGTACCAGTTCAATCAGTGTATATTTACTCAACATAAACAAATGTGAATGATAATTAACTAACCAAATAGTTTTATTTTTTATTTGCCCTTTTTTTCATTTCATTTTTAAATTTGTGCCAAAAATACACAATTTATAATCACATATTCAAAACAACAGAAAAGCACATTTCCCGAAAAGGGGTAAAAAGGTGAAAATCTTCCATTAATCCTAAACTCTTATCATCTTTAAAGGGATTCTGCCAGAGTTGTCGGATTTTCAAAGAGCTCAAATTAAGCCCTACAAAAATAGGTTGCAAAATAAGCAGTTAGTTAATAAGCAATTTAGTTAAATGTTGTGGATTGCTATCTAACGAATACTAATGAGATGTGCATGTTTTAAATACTATAGCATAAAATTAAAAACTGCTTTGAAACATGACACATCTGGATTTTGAACAGACGTGGATGCCTTTTTTAAACTTTTTGACAG